GTGGCACACATCTTTAATCCCAGTACTGGGGAGGCAGAGGCAGGCGGATCTCTGTGAGTTCGAGGCCAGCCTGGTCTACAGAGCGAGATCCAGGAAAGCACCAAAACTACACAGAGAAACCCTGTCTCAAAAAACAAACAAACAAACAAACCAACAAACAAACCCAAAACAAAAAAACCAAACCAAAAACATGGCTTGTCAGCTTTCCTTTACTGACCCAGTTCATCTGAGATAAAGGAACTCTAAGGCAAGGCTTAGTTTGGTGCACACTTTCTGTCCACGGCCAGCTGACCCTCGTGTTTTGGGCCTTGGCATGGCGGCATGGGGTGAAAGGGACCATGGTAGAGCAAGTTCAGGCCAGTCCAGAAGGGCAGAGAAAGGTAGGAAGGGGTTCGGGTCCCGGTGTCCCCTTCACGGGCACGCTATCATTTGTTTCTTCCCAGTCCCCACCTTGTGAGAATTCTAGCATCTTCCAGTAGTGATGCTGGCCGGGAGCCAGCCCTTGGGAGACATTGAAGCCCAAACTCTGAAACTGTAGCAAACTCCGCAGGAACAAATCCTCTGGTAACAGAGTGATGATGATGATGAGCCCTTCTGAAGTTCTGGAACAGACTGGAGCAAGGATTACTTAGTGTCGGGTATATTCTAGAGCAGCACCAGCAGCAAGGCTTACTACAATCATGGGCATACTTTACATCACATTGAACTATGTCTAACTGCCACATTTGGCCATCGAACGTGAAGGCTGTTGAGTAACTGAATTTTGATTTGGGTTTAAACAGCTCCTTGTGACTAGTGGTTCCCTGACATAGCTCTAGGACCACAGAGGGCATCACAGAGGCGTCAATAAAAAAAATAAAAATAATAAAAAAAAAAAAACAAAAAAAAAAAAACAGACTGACCCCCAAAGCAGAGTGAAATATAATTTAATGAAATGGAGCGGAATGAGGTGTCGTGGCTCATGCTGTGGTCCCAGCACCTGGGAGGTGGAGGCAGGAGGATCAGGAATTAAAGGTCACCCTTATCTGCATAGTGACTTTGAGGCAGGCCTCAGCGACCTGAAACTCAGTCTCAAAAATCAAAAGTAGGGGCTAGAGAGGTGGCTGAGCAGTTAAGAGCACTGGCTGCCCTTCCAGAGGACCCAACACCCACATGGCAGGTCACAACTGTCTGTAACTCCATTTCTAGGGGATCTGATACCTTCACACCAATGCATATAAAATAAAAGCTAATTAAGGGGTTGGGGATTTAGCTCAGTGGTAGAGCACTTGCCTAGCAAGCACAAGGCCTTGAGTTTGGTCCTCACCTCTGGAAAAAAAAAAAAGTTAGTTAAATTATTTAAAAAGAAAGGAAAAAAAAAACCAAAAGCAAACAACAAAACAATACAAAAACAAAAAGAAAAGGAAAAAAAAAAAAAAGAAAACTCCATATCCAGTGTGGTAGCACATGTCTGTAACCCAGCACTTGGGAGACAGAGGCAGGACAATCATTGCAAGTTCCAGGCCAGCCTGGTCTACATAGCAAGTTCCAGGCCAGCCTGGGCTACATAGCAAGTTCCAGGCCGGCCTGGGATACACAGTGAAACAAGAACAAAAGAAATAGAAATGGAACAAAAAATTTGTATGCGTCTATATTTGTACACACACACACACACACACACACACACACACACACACACACACACACACGCACACACGTGCATGCTCTCACACACACATGTATATGTAAGCTAAAACCTGGGACATTTCCTAAAGCTAGTGATATGGGGAAGATCTAAAATTGGAACCAGGCTATGCGGACTCTCCCAGGTTCGATGGGAAGTTTTTACGTCAGCTTAAATGTCTTCACAGGAAGAGGATTTTTTTTTTTCAGTATGATAAATTTCTTGCAACAGAGAAAACACATTTGCTGTCCTGTGGTCTGCTCTGCTTTCTGTGATAAGATGACAGAGCACTTAAGGGGAAGAACTCATTTGTCTTACAGTTCCAGGCGTCCATCACTGGGAAAGCGAAGGCAGGAACTGGAAGCCAGTAGCCACACCCACAGGCAAAAGCAGAGAGAAGGTGCAAGCATGCATGCCCATGTTCAAATTAATTTTTCTGTTTTTAAGTCCAGGACCCAAACCCAGGGCATGATGCCACCCACAGTGGGGGCGTCTTCCCACGTCAGTTAACATATCGAGACAATTTCCCGCAGACATTCTCACAGGCCAACCTGAGACTTCTTTTCCAGGTGATTCTGGGTCCAGCTGACAGTCAAAACTAGCCATCGCAGAGTCTCTTCTAAAAAGTGTCGAGTGTGTGTGTGTGTGTGTGTGTGTGTGTGTGTGTGTTGGAACTTCTTTGTACAAGTCTGTGTGTGTGGTATATGTACATGTTTCTGTGGGTGTATGCATGTGTGTACATACATGTTGAGGCCAGAGATCTATATCCAGTGTTATGGAATATTATTTTAACTAGCAAAGATGTGTTGCATTTGTTTATGCTGCAGAATATGACTTTACCTGTGTAAAGGTGTGTTACTTTTGTTTAGGCTGCATTTGTTTAAGGATGTGTGTTTAATGATGTACAGATGTGTGGCATCTGTTTTACCTTGCCTGCCTAAGGCACCTGATTGGTCTAATAAAGAGCTGACCGGCCAATAGCGAGGCAGGAGAAAGGATAGGCAGGGCTGGTGGGCAGAGAAAATAAATAGGAGGAGACCTCTAGGCTCGAGAAGAAAAGAGGAATGAGAAAAGAAGAAGAATGAGAGGAAGAGAGAATGGCAGAGATGCCTGGGACAAGAAGCCAGGCAGACACCATCCAGCCAGACACTGAGACGCAGTGCAAGCAAGATAGACAGAAGTAAGGAAGGTACTAAGCCCCTAGGCAAAATGCAAAAGAGAAACAGGTTAATTTAAATTAAACGAGAAATATGCCCAGGCTAGGCCGAGCATTCAAAACTCATAAAAAGTCTGTGTGTCATGATTTGGGAGCAGGTTGGTACCCTAAAAGAAAAATCTTGGTACGTATTAGGTGTCTTCCTTGGTTTCTCTCCACCTTATTTTTTGAGACAGTGCCTCTCACTGGACTTGGAGTTCACCGATTCAGCTAATCTGGCTAGCCGATGAGTTCCAGGGATCCTCCCCACAACCCCCCTCCCAGTGCTGCAGTCACAGACACACGCCACACCCCAAACTTTTACTTGGGTGCTGAGGATTCGATCTCAGGGTCTTGTGTGGCAGGCCCTTTGCTGACTGAGCCGTCTCCCAGCCCCCTGAAGAACGTTTTCAGCTGGGTGGGACTACAAACATCCCATCCAAAATCCACTGGGCTAGCTGACCGAAGACTCGGCGTCTAAGCCATTTGTCCTGCAGAAGATTTGGCTGTCGATCTTGTCTTTACCTACAGACTTGGGTCCCTGGTGTCTAGATCAGGCATTCCACCAACCACAGAAGCAGACCGACTTCTGCCTCACTTCCGGGTAGAGAGTGCAGTCTCCTGTCCCCATTACAAATGAAGACTTCAAGCCAACAGGCAGTGACAGTGGCACTGGGGTTTTTGTGTCAGCCTTGAATGACATTGGGTCCTCACGAACTCAAATTGTTGAATTAATGATCACATTCCTTTTTTTGTTTGTTTGTTTTTAAGTCAAGCAAGATAATAATGGACCTACCTTTTGGAGAAGAAAAGACCCCAGGAGTCGAAACGAATCCTCTCTCAGGTGAGATTATTTTAACTTGCTGATCAAAACTGACATTGTAGTATGCTTTAAAAAAATACATATATATATAGTATGTGTGGTGTGTGTGCATGTGTGTGAATGCATGCAACTGCATGCATGAGAGAGTGTGTGTGCATGAGTGTGTGCATGCGTGAGAGTGCATGCCAGTGTGTGCGTGCATGCATGTGTGTGTGCGAGTGTGTGCATGCTAGTGTGTGCACAAGAATACACCACAGTGTGCACGTGGGAGTCCAGAGGGTACCTTACAAGAGTAGGCTCTCTCCTACATTTCTTTTTTCTTTTCTTTTTTTGTTTTTTCGAGACAGGGTTTCTCTGTAGTTTTGGTGCCTGTCCTGGATCGCGCTCTGTAGACCAGGCTGGCCTCAAACTCACAGAGATCCACCTGCTTCTGCCTCCCAAGTGCTGGGATTAAAGGTGTGCGCCACCACCCCGGCCCTCCCACATTTCTTGGTTGCTAGTTGGTTAAATTTAGGTCCTCTGCTTTGGTGGTCATTACCTTCGCCTGCTGAGTCATCTCACTGGCCCTCAATTTAAAAAAAAATACATTTTTCTCCTACTTGCTTTAGGTGCATTCTGTGTATCTCATATATACAGCAATGAAGAAAAGTATCTTGAGAACACTTTCCCAAATTAAAATCTAGTTAGTTAAAATAACACAATATGATATTTTTCATTATCATGGAATATATAGACATCACAATGTCACTTTAATAGATTAAAGTTGAATTAAAAATAAGTATTGACCTTGAACTCTGTGTAGAGAAAAATGTTAGGACTTGTAGTATTTCTTGTGGTTTTGCTTTTTCTTTTTAAGACAGGGTCTCATACATCCAAGACTGACCTCTAACTTGCTATGGAACTAGGGATGGCCTTGAACTCCTGAATGCCTGATTGACCTCACTAGCATGTGGATTACAGGCCCCAGCTACCACACCTTTTTAAAAAATGCCGTGGTGCTGGGAATCAGACCCTGAACTTTGTGCATCTGAGGCAAGCACTCTTCCAAATGGGCTCCATCCTGAGCCCCGAGCCCTATAATGGATCCAAAGGCAAGTGAGGCATAGTTCTTGCCCTTGAGAAGTCTAACCAGGTTTCATCACGTCTGCCTGGAAGTTATGTAGTGGGAAATATGCGATGTGCTCCAGATGAGGTGATGCAACTTGTTTAAGAGATTTAAAGAGGGGGAAATTACACTGAGCTGTGGGGAGAGGTCAGGATTCCAGGTGACAGTTGGGGATGGGATAGTTCCCCAGGAGATGGGCCATCAAGGAGAGTGGATGTGAGAGGTCCGGGGCAGATAAAACATGGAATGTGAATTAGGCTCTGGTGACTCATCTGGATTGTCAACTTGACCCATCAGGGAAGAGATCTCAAGTCAAGAACTTCCTCCATCAGATGGGCCTGTGGGCATGTCTGTGGGGGCAATTTCTTGGTTGCTAGTTGGTGCAGGAAGACCACTCCACTGTGGGTGGTGCCGTCCCCAGGCAGGTGGTGGGCAGGCCTGGGCTGTGTAGGAAAGCTGGCTGAATGAGCTACATGAGGTTGTTCAGTAAGCAACATTCCTCCATGGTTTCTGTTTCAGGCTCCTGCCCACAATTCCCAGGGAAGGGCTTGTTCCCTTCAAGTGTAAACCAAATAAGCCCTTTCCTCCCCAAATAAGCCCCTTAGTCACTTGTGGTCATAGTCTAGGGTGAGTTAGTAAGTTCTGATAGGATGTATTAGCCAAATAATGACCCTCTCTGATCATTGGACCCTGGTGTTTTGTCTCAGTAATGAGTCATTGACCAAGCAGGGGATGGACCTTGGTGGCTAGCTCTGGGGATGTAATCTAATGAAACCCTGTCTCAAAAAAAAAAAAAAAAAAGGAATTTATTGAAATAACAGGGGTGACTCACACAATTCAACACTCACACAAAAGGTAGGCAGCTAGAGAGCCCGGGATAGCGTTCTCTCATCTGTTGATCTAGTCAAACATGTCCTAGTTATTGGCTTTTCGTGTTCACTCTTGGGTGAGCAATGCTGAGCAAAATCAGCCAGGTTTAGAACTGAACCCTAGTGATCCAGGAAAGGAGAGAAGAAAACCAGGGGGTTGGTACCGGCGGCTCTGGGTGTGTGGGGCACAGTTCTCTGCTCTGATGTTCCCCGATGAGCCTCATTTTTGTTTTGTTGGATCCTGTATCCTTCTTAGGGCAGCGAAGTTTGAAACACACAGTTTCCAGCTCCCACCCGTGGACGTGGGCCTGTTCATATCATTTTGCATTAAAATTTGCAAATCCCAGGGAGGGTTTGTGACTATCCCACTAGGATAGCTGGCTGAGATCTACCCAGCATAGTCCGGGGACCGGAGGCTCTGAAAACCCGACAGCTTGCGTGTGCCCCATGTGGAATCGGGCAGCCTCTAAATAAAGGGCGTGGGGGCAAAGTTGCCTGTTTTCTGAGCGTGTTCTAGTCGTGTTGTCTCTGTAATTAAACATCAGGATCAGAAACAAAAGGCAGGCTGGATGAAAACACTAATTAGAGGGACGAAGGATGCGCACAGGTACAGAGCTAGCTCTGCAGCACCTCTTAGATGTAGGCTGACGCCTAATTATGAGAAGCTGCCGGTCAGAAGGATGCTGCTATCTTGGGACATCAGACTTACATAAGAGCGATCACTTTCAGGATAGTAATAAACAACAGGCCTTCAAGCCCGCAGGGGATGGAAAACAGACGAGATTGGGGTGTGGGTGTCTCTTTCCTTAGGATAACGTCATTTGTGGATAGTTCCACGCATTTGTAGATCTTACAAAAGAAAACGCAGGGAGGTATTTTATTTTTAAAAAATTCACTTGTGTATGAGTGAGCCTTTTTTTGTGGGGGTGTGTCCTTGCATGGGTGCAGGCCAGACGAGGATGTCACATGTCCTCCTTTGAAACAGGGTCTCTCACTTCACCTGGTGCTAGGTTGGTGGCCAGCAAGCCTCAGGGATCCTCCTGTCTCTTTCCCCACCTCCTGAGGTTCTGGGGATCCTCCTGTCTCTGTCCCACACCTCCTGAGGTTCTGGGGATCCCCCTGTCTCTGTCTACCTCCTGGGGTTCTGGGGACCCTCCTATCTCTGTCCCATACCTCCTGGGGTTCTGGGGATCCTCCTGTCTCTGTCCCACACCTCCTGAGGTTCTGGGGATCCCCCTGTCTCTGTCCCACACCTCCTGATGTTCTGGGGATCCTCCTGTCTCTGTCTACCTCCTGGGGTTCTGGGGATCCTCCTGTCTCTGTCTACCTCCTGGGGCTCTGGGGACCCTCCTGTCTCTGTCTCCCAGCTCCTGGAGTTCTGGGGACCCTCCTGTCTCCCTCAGCTCCTGGGGTTCTGGGGACCCTCCTGTCTCTGTCCCTCAGCTCCTGAGGCTCTGGGAGTTTTAACTCAGGTCTCCACATTTGTGCAGCAAGCATTCTCCTATCTTCTGAGCCGTCTCCTTGGTCTTTTTGTTTTTGTTTTTTTAAGAGGAAGTATCTTCTGGCCTGGTTAAGAGTTTTGTAAACCTGGGAGTCAGGGACGAAAACCAAGCTCTCCCATTGTTTGTGAACAGAATCCTGGATTGTTTAGCAGCTCAGGTTAGAGCATCTACCTTCCTGGCCGATGTTTCTAGAGATGCCACTTGAACAAGTCTGTAAGCTGAAGGCGTGTGAATGACATCATGTGGTCCACACATTTAAAGGCAGACTCTCCACATTGGGAACATATGACGTGTGACACATGATTTCATGTGATGTAGTAGCAGCAATATACTGTGGGTTTCTTTCTTTCTTTCTTTGTTTTGTTTTTCGAGATAAAGTTTCTCTGTGTAGCTTTGGAGGCTTTCCTGGAACTCACTCTGTAGCCCAGGCTGGCCTTGAACTCACAGAGATCCGATGCCGCCGCCGCCGCCTCCGCCGCCACCACCTGGCTGACTGTGGGTTTCCTACACGTAGGTTTTGGATACGTACTACAGACCACCATCTCCCTTCTTGACAATCGTCGTAAGGTCCTTTTCTTTATTCTGAGTATTCCCAGTGATGGCAAGCATTTCGGAGACGGGCTTTTTCTTTTTTCTTTCCCATATACTGGATTTCCATAGTGTTGTGGTAGCATGTTATTAATCCAGGAGACAAAGACTCAGTCATCGCTGGAATCCGGTCACTATGTGGATACCAAGCACTCAGCAGTGTTTGCTCATTTCAGTGTGTGTTCCCGGCAGCGGCTTGACCCTCACCTTGAAACTCAATGCCTCGTACACACCCTCAGTATTTACTGTGCTGCAGCGTTACCCAAGAGAAACTTCTTTGTGACCGTTTCATAACCGATATGTGGATGTTGTTATTGAGTTAAAATGGCTGCTGCCTAAATTTTAAACCAGTAACATTTCAACTGTAGCCACAGACTTTAAGGACAGGGAGCCAGTGATAGGAACTTAGAAGAGTCAGTAGCACCATACAGATAAGAATGGTTGCCGTTTGTTTAAAATGACCCTAAGACACGGGCTGGAGAGAGGGTTCAGCGGTTGAGAGCCCTGGCTGCCCTTAAAGAAGACGCAGATTTCATTCCCAGCATCCACATGGCAGCTCGGAACTGTCTGGATCTCCAGTGCCCCCTTCTGGCCTACGCTAGGCATACATGTGATGCACAGATAGATATGTAGGCAAAACACCTATGTACATATATATATATATATATTAAAATAAAATAGTAACGGCTGGAGAGATAGTTCAGTGGTTAGGAGTACTGGCTGCTCTTCCAGAGGTCCTGAGTTCAATCCCAGCAACCACATGGTGGCTCACAACCATCTGTAATGAGATCTGGCGCCCTCTTCTGGCATGCAGGCAGAAGACTGTATACATAATAAATAAATAAATCTTTTTTAAAAATGCTAAAACAACAACAAAAAAAAAAAAAAAAACCAAACCTAATCTAAGAATGAATTTTAAAAAAAGTGCCTTTCCAGTTTGGTGGAGGTTCTCATTCAATGAGAGAGAAAGGCGCCCTGGCTATAAAAAGGTCAACCATGGGCTGAAGACATAAAGGAAAATGTTAAGAGATGGCACTTAAGACTCCAGCGTTCCAAACACTTTGTAGGTATCTCCCTATCTATTCCTTACAGAAACCCTTGTGATTGGTGCCACCATTGTTCTTATTTTTAAATTAGGGGTTCAGGGCCAACTAAAGGTTCAATTGCCAAAATTACCACCTTAATATTTTTATTTGTGTGTGTGTGTGTGTTGTTGTTGTTGTGTGTATACCCGTGTATGTGCAGTGCCTGTGGACACCAGAAAAGGGCGTAGGATCATTAGGCTGGAATTCCAGGTGGTTGTAAGCCGTCGGGTCATTGTGAATGCTCGGAACAGGTCTCTGGTCTCCTGCAAGAGCAACAGGTAGCTCTTAACAACCCGCTGAGCCGTCTCCCCAGCACAACACCCCCCCCCCAAATTTAAAGATATAGTTGGCTGCTTTTATTTGTGATTCTAGAACCAACCACCACCTCATTCTATGAAGTAAAATTATTCTGATGAACGATCAGAGAAAGGTGAGTTTTAAGGCAGAAAAAGACCAAAGAAAGCAGACACAGAAAACAAAGTCTGCCCGGGTCTTTGCAGCGTCTGAGGAGGGAGAAAGCAGAGGGCTGTCCTCCGATGCTGAGTGAGGTTGAGTTTGGCTTCAAGGCACTTAGCACAAGTGACTCCATTCCGGCCTCTGCTGGAGCCTCACACAGGAGGGTAGATCCACACAGCGCCTGCCCTTCATGTAACGGTGCGTGGGAGGGCCAGGACCCCTTTGGGTCTCACAGGATGGCTTTCCATCCTCTCTCTCTCTCTCTCTCTCTCTCTCTCTCTCTCTCTCTGTCTCTCAGCTTTTCTAGCTTACTTGCTCTGTGGCAGAGTACAGAAAATGGGGTGGGGTCAAGAATGGAGACCGTAATGGTGGGACACTGATTCTGAGGAAAGGGGCTGATAGTCTCAGAAGACTGAGAGTTAAAGCATTAAAAGTGAAAACCCTCTCTCTATATCTTTATTTGCATTTTTCCTCTATAGGATCCATTAACAGTTACAATGAAAGAACAATCAGGTTGAACTCAAATGAAAATGCCCTTTCAGTACAAGTATTAGAGTCTCCAAGAAGGTCCAAAGTGTCCATCATAAAAAATGCCATTGCAGGGCATGGTAGTGCAGAGGCAGGTGGATCCCAGTGAGTTCAAGGCCAGCCTGGTCTACCTAGCGAGCTCCAGGCTAACCAGTGCTACATAGTGAGACTCTGTCTCAAAAACCAAAATAACAAAAAAAACTGAAATCCAATAAAGTGCTTCTTTGTATGTGTCGTGGTTTGCAAGATAATGACCCCCAAAGAGAGGGGCACTATTAGGAGGTGTGGCCTTCTTAGAAGAAGTATGTCACTGTAGAGACGGGCTTTGAGGTCTCATATGCTCAAGATACTGTCCAGAGTCTCAGACCACTTCCTGCTGCCTGTGAGTCAAGATGTAAGAACTCTCAGCTCCTTCTTTAGCACCATGTCTGCCTGCATGCTGCCATGCTTCCCGCCATGATGAAAACGGACTGAACCTCTGAAACTGTCAGCCACCCCAATAAAATGTTTTCCTTTATAAGAGTTGCCGTGGCCATGGTGTCTCTTCACGGCAATAGGAACCCCAACTAAGACGGTATGACGTCGGTAGGGTTTTTATTTCTGAAAGCAAAAGAGCGCGCTAAGAGACAGCCACGCCGTATTTCCATTCATCGGTAGCAATAGTAAGTGCATTAGTTGTTTATTATCACTTGTGGTTTTAGACCTTTCGGCCCACCACGGAGGGAAAGGCTCGGCAAAGTGGCTCAGTCTTTGGCATTGTGTTTTGGTGGCTGCTCACATTGTGGTAGACAAGGGAACAGAGAAGCAGGCCAGAACCAAGGCCAGGTATGGCTTCCGAAGGCCTGCCTCTGGGACCTACTTCTAACATCCAGGCCCCCTGGCCAACAGGCTCTACAGCCTTCAAAATGATGTCGTAGCCGGGGAGTGGGCACTCATTGCGACATTTCAGATTCAATCCATCCCAGCAAGTGAGGTCTGGTCACTCTCTGCTCATGACGAGCATTGCATTTACATGAAGTTAGTTAGTTGCTTTTGGAGTCATGGGCTGCCGAAACTGGCGGCTGGATTCTCTTGCTTCCTCACTGTTAAACTCCAAGTATCACATTTAATATTCGTTTCTACCCACAGGTCCCCCCAGGCGAACAGCGTGCCATTCAAGGACTCAGCACCCTGTCCTTCAGACCTCAAGCAGCTGTTCCTTCCTGGCCAAGGAGCCTCTCGGCCTCTACCTACTCTCTCCAGGACTTCTCAGTCCGCAGCAGCCACTGGCCAGGCTGCCTGCTCACCACCGCCGCCTTTTGCGGCAAACACCGGACAGCAGGAGCCTCCAGATTACAAAGACACCCCAAGAGAAATTCCTCCCAGGTTTGATGGGAACAGAAATGAGTGTCGCTTAAGAAATTCTCTCCCAGCTTCTCCTTCGCACAGCAGCTCCAGCGTAGAGAAGGAGGAGTCGGAACTCCACCTGTATGTTATTTCTGAAACCTCATCAATATTTCTGCACTTAAAGAGTTCGTGGAACAACTACATTATAGTAAGTACCCTCACAAGGTAGCTTTTGGTTTTTGTTTTTGTTTTTGTTTTTTTTTTTGAGACAGGGTTTCTCTGTGTAGCCCTGGCTGTCCTGGAACTCACTTGTAGACCAGGCTGTCCTTGAACTCAAAAAGATCCGCCTGGCTCTACCTCCTGAGTTCTGGGATTAAAGGTGTGAGCCACCATCACCACCACCACCCGGCCACAAGGTAGCCTTGACCTCAGTGTGTTTGGTTTTCGGAGGGAGGGTGGCGGGGACAGGTGTGTGTGTGTGTGTGTGTGTGTGTGTGTGTGTGTGTGGCAAACATGCTTTCCGGTTTGAGGATTTAGCCTTGGAATTTAATGGTTGTTGTGAAAGATAGGAATGCACCAGAGAAGTAAGGGAGCTTTTCTTCAGGTGTTTGCAGTAAGGAGAAATGCTTATTGATGAACAATGTCTTGGAGGCTGGAGAGTTGGCTCGGCAGTTTGGAGCACTGCTGTTCTTGCTGAGGGCCTGGGTTCAATTCCCAGCACCCACATGGCAGCTCACAAGCATCTGTAGCTCCAGTTCCAGGGGACCTGATGCCCTCTTCTGGCCTTCTTGGGAACCAGCATGCATGTGGTATACATACATACATACAGACAGACAGACATGCATACATATATATATGCAGGCAAAACAGACATACATATAAAAGAAAGAGACGGAGTGAGAGAGCGAAAGCAGAGAGAGATGGGGAGGGAGGGAGAGAATAATAGTGTCTCAGGGGAAAGAGAAAGAATCTGGTTTTGGGGTTTTTGACAGTCATGACGGAGTCTTTCCAGGGGGTTTTGCAGTTAGCTGGGTGACACAGAACTCAGATAAAATTCAACCCTGTCGACTGTATTTCTTTCTTTCTTTCTTTCTTTTTTTTTTTAAGATTTATTTATTTATTATGTATACAGCGTTCTGTCTGCACACATCCCTGCAGGCCAGAAGAGGGCACCAGATCTCATTACAGATGGTTGTGAGCCACCATGTGGGTGCTGGGAGTTGAACTCAGGACCTCTGGAAGAGTAGCCGGTGCCCTTAACCTCTGAGCCGTCTCTCCAGCCCCCTGTATTTCTGTTTTTAAACCTTATTATCATCGTGCACATGCGTGTGTGATGTGGGAGGGGCACACACGTGGAGGACAGCTTCCTGGAGTTGCTTCTCTCCTCCGTCTTGACTTAGGCTCTGGAGACTGGACTCAGGCTGGTGGAACAAGTGTCTGCACCCGCTGGCCCATCTCCAAGGCCTGTTCTTGTGTTTCCTTATTGCAATAGTCTAACAGCAACCGGAAGGTCTGTCTTTATCTGGATATTGTCTGAGTCTCTGGTCTCTTTTTCCTCCCTCCCTCCCTCCTTCCCTCCCTCCTTCCCTCTCTTTCTTCCTCCTTTCCTCCCTCCTCCCTCCCTCCCTCCCTCCTTCCCTCTCTTCCTTCCTCCATCCCTCTCTGCCTCCCTCCTTCCCTCCCTTTCTCTTTCCCTCCCTCCCTCCCTCCTTCCCTCCCTCCCTTCCTCCATCCTTCTCTGCCTCCCTCCCTTTTTTTCTTTCTTCTTCTTCTTGTGCTCATTCCATAAAGACAGACCAGCCTTGAATTTGCAGTAATACTTGTGCCTTGGCCTTCCCAGTCCCAGGATGCTAGTCAGGAGCCGCCACACCAGCTAAACCGGGGCTGCGGAAGCAGGGACGAGTTTAGGTGCTTTATTTGACATTACAGAGAACTTTTAGCCAGAACTCTCCCTATTGGCGATAAAGCAGTGGCGGGCGGGCGCTAGACTGCTGAGCCCCCTCCCGATCTCCGTTAAGGAGACTTCACTACACTAGCATCAGTTGAAAAAGCACCTTACTAGCTGGGGTGCTGATGCACATGCTCGGTCCCAGCACTCAGGAGGCAGACCTCTGTGAACTCAGGGTCAGTCAGGTCAACAGCAACAACAAAAACTTATGAAAAATATATTTGGGGGCTGGAGAGATGGCTCAGCGGATAAGAGCACTGGTTGCTCTTCCAGAGGACCTGAGTTCAATCCCCAGCAACCACAGTGGCTCACAAACATCTCTCATGGGATCTGAATCATATACATAAAATACATAAATAAATCTTTAAAAAATATGTATTCTGAGTTATCTTAGGTGATTACTAATTTTTATTAATATTCTTCCAATATAATTTTAATAAATATGAAACATTATCTTGTACAGAAGGAACTAGTAAGGAGGAGTTTTATCAGTGGCTTAAAATGAAATATAAACCAGGTGGCGGTGGCAGCGGCGGCACGCACACCTTTAATCCCAGCACTTGGGAGGCAGAGGCAGGCAGATCTCTATGGAGCCAGGACAGGCTCCAAAGCTACACAGAGAAACCCTGTCTCAGAAAAACCGGGGGAAAAAAAAAAGAATACTCATGTTTGCAGACCTAAAACTTATAGCTGAACTTGATAAATAATTTTTAAAATACAGAATTTGGCCAGGCATGGTAGCATGTGCCTTTAATCCCAGGGTTTGGGAGGCCGAGGCTGGTGGGTCTTTGAGAGGTTTGACTTCAGCCTGGTTCACAGAGTGAGTTCCAACCCAGAGCTACAAACTGAGACCTTGTCTCCAAACAACAACATTAACAACAAAAAACAGAATTTATGCGGCACGCACACCTTTGATCCCAGCACTCAGGAGGCAGACCCAGGCAGATCTCTGTGAGTTCGAGGCCAGCCTGGTCTACAGAGCGAGATCCAGGACAGGCACCAAAGCTACACAGAGAAACCCTGTCTCGAAAAACAAAACAAACAAACAAAAACAAACCAGAATTTGCATGTCATCCTCGAGCAAAGGCCATGCCAATCTGGGCATTATTCCAATTTTAGTACATGTGCAGCAGAATCGAACATGAACATAAATCATTAACATAAATCATTTTATAGTGAAGAACTGTTATATTTAAAACTTTTAAAAAGCCCAAATCATGAAAAAAATTCCTTGTGATGTTATCAGCTATCAGAATGAGTTCTCTAGGTAAAGCATATGGATACCATAGCAGGACTAAGGAGTGCATGTATGACATTGGTCAGAACTTGAGACCATTTTTAGTAGCCAGACATTCTCACAGTCCCTACTCTTTTCCTCCTTTAGAGAGCTACTCTTTCACAAGACCCTCTGTGCTCCAGTGGACACGGTCACGTCATCGGGAATCCAAAGCCCTACAGGTAGGGTGCGATGTGGGAGAGACTCATCGGAGAGTTTTCTCTGCTCTTCACTTCTAGCTCTATGCTGTGTGTGCGTGCACGTGTGTGTGCGCGTGCGTGCGTGCGTGCGTGTGTGTGTGTGTGTGTGTGTGTGTGTGTGTGTGTGTGTGACTGCCATGTTTATACCCCTACCTCAACATCTGCCATAAATTTTAGGTCTGCAAACCCAAATATTCACTGAGCCAACTTGAGTACCAGAGGACATAAGGACCAGGGTGTCTGAAACACAGAGAATAGATAGATGTGTGATGGTTCATCATAGAAGGTGCCCCCCTCTGCTCCCTCCTCACAGAAATAGAACACAGTGAACTTGAGGAGGACCTTGGGCACCGGTCCTTCTCTATAAAAACAGCCAACTAATGGCAAGAATTGCGCCTTTCCCATAACCACTTCTGGGTTACCAAGGAGCCCTGGCTGGTGACGGCAAATTCTCTTTTACCACACTTCAGCTAATGAGTGCAGATTTAATAGACCTAGACAATTAACCATTGTTTGCGATCTTTGATGAGATAATAGATCTATACTGCAATCCTCAGCGGATAAAACCAGAGGGAGGTGTTGGGTCCTTTGGAGGTACAGACAGTTGTGAACCACCATGTGGGTGTTGAGTATTAACCCTGTGTCTTCTGGAAGAGCAACCAGTGCTCTTAGCGACTGAGCCATCTCTCCAGCCCTTTTACTTGAATGATAGTTGAGGTTGATGCTATAATAAAATGTACTCTTAAGTTTGTGACTTCTCAAGAGAGTAGAAAGATTTTATAGTCTTTTCAATTGAAATGCAGGAATCAGAAGTGGATAAATGAATAGAGAAACAGGACCTCAGACTTATTCCAGTTATTTTTTTAGAGATAACCATGCAGTGGGTGATGCTATCATCCCCATTGTACAGACTTGACAACTGAGGTCCAGAGAGGCGGACTTTCCTGTAGTTATTATCTAGTTTAATCATAGAGCCGATCTAGGATCCGGCCTCAGCCCTCAGGCTCACAATCCTTGTTTTTCTGCCTGAAGGATTGCTGACATTATCATGCCAATCTTTTCCCTGGGTTTCCCACTGGGAAAGAACCCATCTCTTCCTCCAGAAGTTGGGTTTAATGAGGAACGCTCATTGGCTGCCTTGAGGAGAGCATCAGATGCTTTTTGAATAACAAGGAGGTGGTGGGGTGAGGTGGGGTGGGGTGGGGTGGGGTGGGGTGGGGTGGGAACCAATGTTGCATACAGAAGTGGAGGGGTAAATGAATGTATCCAGGTCTCTGGAGGAGATGATAAAATTGTTTTCACCCGAAGTCAAGAATGTCAAGAGTTCGCTAATCTATGGAGAACACCAACTGTCCTTCCTGCTGTTATTTTCCACACTGATATTCGAGATAATTACCTGTGGGAGCCTGGGCAGGTGTTTTACCCCTCTTCTGTATTCTAAAGCCACAAAGGGTCCCAGCTCAGTCTGCACGGGGCAGCAGAAGCTGCTTCCCTGAGGAACAGGTCTCTGAAAAGCCCCCAGCCTGGAGCTTAACATGAGCGCCCCTCCTACAGCAAATTGCGATGTTTGAGCATGGTGTGACGTGAGGGCCATTTTTAAACAGAATTCATTTGTTTAGTGTGTGTGTGTGTGTGTGTGTGTGTGTGTGTGTGTGTGTGCACGCGCATTCCTGTGTCATGGCATTTATGTGGAGGACAGAGACAACTTTCTTTTTTGTTCTTGTTGCTTCTTGTTTGTTTGTTTGTTGTTTGAGACAGGGTTTCTCTGTGTAGCCCAGGAACTCACTCTGTAGACCAGGCTGGCCTCGAACTCACAGAGATCTGCCTGCCTCTGCCTCCCAAGTGCTGGGATTAAAGGCGTGCACCACCACTGCCCGGCTTAGAAAACAACTTCTGGGAGTCATTTCTCTCCTTCACTATGTGAGGCCTCCAGATTGAATACACGTTGTCCACTTCACCACAAGTGCCTTAGCCTGTGGAGTCCCCTCCCTGTCCCCTCTGACGAGAACAATTTTTATTCAAGTTCCCAAAATTTAGCTGAGGGGCGCAAATAATTACAATAGGTAAAATGAGATTAACATAGTACTAAAGTATGGGGGGGGGCTGCAATGTGGGGGGTCTGGAGAGAGGGATTAGCAGTTAAGAGTGTATACAGCTCTTGCAGAGGACCTCAGTTCAGTTCTGAGAACTCCCCTGGGGCCGCTCACAATAGCCTGTCCCCTCCTCCAGGGGATCTGATGCCTCTGACCTCCAAGGGCATCTTCACTCATGTTCACACACATGCCTGAGCTCACACGCGCATACACACACAGACACATAATTAAAAAATAACAGAGATAAATGAAACTTCCATGGAAGAGACGCTGCACTGGCCTGGGGCATTCTAGAAAGTTCTAAGACAGGGCTGTCCAGGCTTCTGATGCTTCAACATGATGTCGTCTGCAAAGTCCATTCCTGTAGCTGTTTAATCAAGTTGCAAAACTGAAATTTTAAGCTGGACCTCAGTTACGACTGTCTTCTCTAAGGAGAACTCAGTATCTGTTTCCTGAAGAATGGCGAACCTGTGGGTCAAGGACTAGAGATGATTTCTGGTGGTGCCCACACAGAGGAAGGGAACTTTGAGCTCCATGGAGAAGAGCAGTTCTTACTGGAAAGTGTGCTCTCATCAGGAAACACCTCGTTCTTTTTTGGTTTTTCTGAGACAGGGTTTCTCTGTGTAGTTTTGGTGTCTGTCCTGGATCTCGGGATTAAAGGCGTGAGCCACCATCGCCCGGCCAGGAAAAAACCTCTTAGCTTGATGCTCTGCCCTTTCTGCCCAGCAGTTGGGCCTGTCTAAGACCATCTGCATGCTACATTTACATTTAATTACATGTAATTTACATTACATTGCCGGCCATTTGTGCCAAGTTCCACTGGTTTCCCTGTCAAGTAATGATATGGAAATTCATTTATAAATACACTTATCTCAGCCAAGCAGTTCATGGAAGGAAAACATTAAACAAATAACGTTATCTAGGGCTCCTGGGCTGTGTGAATGATACACCTGAGCCCATGGAAGAGTCTACCAGAGACAGCAGGAGCATGCCAGCTGGTCAAGGGCCGGGGTGAAAAGTGAGTGAGAGAGCGACAGACACCCTTTTGTGGGGGTGAGGCGTCACTGCTTTTCACTACGAAGGTTGGGAGTTCAAAGTTCGGCTAAGATCCTACCAGTCACAAACTTTTATAAGACTTGTCAATAACTGTGATATTTGTGAACCACCGTTTCTTACGCTTTACATGAATCTCTGTGTGTGTTTCTGTAGATCCGAGGAGAAAATTAAGCACTTCAGCCAACTTAAATCTGAACTTTTTCTTCAAGACAACACTTTGAGTAAGATACTGTGTTTAATTACGGAGCTTAGAGTAGCAGCCCAGAGAAATTTCATCCTGAAAAGACTTTTCTGGAAAGTAAGTGTCTTGTTCTTCGTCTTTAAAACTAGTCTTATCTGGTTATCAAATCTAACCATGAATTAGAATAGGAATACAAGTCGTATTCTGGTGCTGTATTTTAAAACGGTGGTTATATTTAATGCCGTCGTGTTTTAATATTTAAAATCTTGTGAGGTGCTCGATATCACGCATGTGTATGGGGAAAGATGGGACTAAATGGAAGCCACCATACCAAGCAAGTGAAATGTGGAGTTGATATTGTCCAAGGAGAGATGGTAGGCGGCCAGCTTTTGGCATGGGAGATGGAGGAAAAGGAGATTTTTCACAAGTTTCTCCACACACGTTTTTCTTTAGTAAAAATATATATTAAAAAAAAACGCCTTTAAGCACAGGATTGGTATTTATTTTTATTTATTTTTTTTTTTAAGAAATGTGATCCCCAGTGAGTCTCACATGGTAAGTTAAAAATGTTTCGTTCTCAGTTTTTACTGGGAGGTGTTAAGAAGCCACAGTAAGAAGTGGTGGGCATGCGTTAGGGCGGCTGTGGTGCCCCTGGACACACATGTCCCTGCCTCCTCCTTAGCGAGCAGCTATGACAGAGTGCACAGACACTCAGTCGTTCAAGCCGTTGTGAGGTGCTTGTACGCCGGTGAATAACCATGTTGGTTTTCCAGATGAGAGCGGCCTGCTGTCTTAGTGTGGGTGCCTCTAAGGAAGTCCCTGGGATGTGGGTTCGCTGGGTCAGCAGCCTTAAGCAAATCAAGATGGCCAACAACCCTAATGATATGAAAGGGCAGCCAGAGAGAGTTAACCGGTCAGTTTATCACAACAGGGTAAGGGCATGGCGCTGCACCGCGTCTGAATAGTCAGAAGTGGTAGATCCTATTAGGAACATGCCGTGCACACTTTGACTCTAGGATTCAGAGAGTTGTGGGGAAATAGAGAGGTAGGCACCAGGCACTAAAATAACTGAGGACACTGATTATGAAAATGAAATTCATACAGAAAGGCTAAAGACATTGGATTATCTCCTCCCCAAGGACCCAGCAGACCTCCCCTGCCTGTGCATTATCCATTTCATCTACCCTAATTGTGTGGATTTGTTTGCCCAAAGACCTTCTGCAGACTTCCTTAGTAAACTGAACACGAAATGCGTGGCTGTAACCTTTAAAAGGGCCGTTGTTTTGGCAGGGCAGGGTAATCAGTAGGGAGCCGTGATCTGGCTAGAGAAGATGCTCAGGGAACTAACCCTCCTAAAGAAGGCTGAGAGCCCAAGGCTGAGAGTCACCTCTGAAGAGAAGTGAGCAAACTGAGATGGGAGCTGGTTCAGTGCCTGAGTGAAATCACCCTTGAAGACCAAGAAATCACTTAGCACCGGGAGGTTCTGCTTGGTTGGGGGGCAGAAGCGAGCTCTCCGCAGAAGGACACAGAAGACCGTCAGATGGGGAACCAGGGCCTGGAAGAGGACTGGAGGGGCGGGGCCAGAGAAACCCACCTGGACAACCCAAACACAGGATTTGAAGTGGATTTTTAAGTAGAACAGGCGCTACCCGGGGTTAGAGAGGAGGAAGCGTGCGGATGTTGGTGGCATTGGCCTGGAGGCCGTTTTAAGCACCTCCAGTCTTAAAGCAGGCCTGATGTAGGGGGTGTTGCTGTGGAGCAGAAGGAGGGCAGAGAATGAGGCCAGGCTGAGCTCATCCAACCCAACCCTTCATCTCTCTCATTATGTATTGTTTGTTTGTTTGTTTGTTTGTTTTTTCAAGACAGGGTTTCTCTGTGTAGCTTTGCGCCTTTCCTGGAACTCGCTTTGTAGACCAGGCTGGCCTCGAACTCAGAGAGATCCTCCTGCCTCTGCCTCCCGAGTGCTGGGATTAAAGGCACGTGCCACCACCGCCCACCCTGAGCTGGGTGTGATGATTCCAACACCAGGTGGTACTCTCCAGCCGCATCCGCTCCTCTATTCTTTGCTTTTTGTGGTACACGTCTTCCTTTTTTTTCCCCCCTCAGTAAAGACCTACCTGTCCTTCAAGGCTTGGCTCAAATGCCATGGTTCTCCTCCCTGTTCTCCTCAGTGAGGAGCCGAGGCACCTTGCTCCTTTGGATTTCCGGACCTAGTCTGTGCCTACCACTCTTCACTATTTGTAGTCCGTGGCGCTTGGTTCCGGAGACACTATCTGCACGTGACTATTAAGTGTTTGGATGTGGCCAAGGACAGAGGCAGTGGAATTTTAACTCTAGTCAATTTAAATAGCCCCCCCTGGTAGCCGGTGGCTACCATACTGCGCAATGTCAATTTTCAACGTCACCCGTAGCATTTTAATAACTCGGCAAACATTTATTACCTTCCTAATCAGTGTGAGGCGTGGTCACAGGCATTAGACATGGAAGTGTGATTGGGACAGAGTCCTTACCCTCAAGAACCAAGCAAGGCTACTCCAGCTGTTGGCTCGGGGCTCTAACCTACCACGGCACGCTCAGGCCCAACACAGTGCATGCATATCCCATGTCCTGGAAGCTATTTTTGTTAAATCGAAATCGTATTCTCCTGTGAAAAAATTAATCTGTTGTGAAGTTTAGGAATAAAACCACCCATTTCATGCTTCACACTTGAAAATACTAGTCATTTTCAGCATAATGCCATTAGCTGGACTAAAAGAGATCTTTGAGTTCCGTTTGTGGAACGTGAAAGGACAGAGTGAATAGAGGTCACGGGGGTTTATCTTTATTTTAAGTCTTTCCATGTTTTCCTGGCTCCTCCATGGTCCTGACCATACGCATCCACAGATAATCCGGGAGTTTTATCCTCACTGTCTCTCTTTGCCACAACCCGGATCTGTTCTCATGTTCATTTACTCAAAGTTAGCATCTCTGACTAAGGAAGACAGCATTCTCAAATCCTTTCCGGAGGATTAACCTTTCTATTAAAATGATTATCTTTCACGGTGGCAGCTAAAGCCCTGGCAGGCTTTGGGAGCCAGAGCCTGGCTGATGTCCCCTGGAGCTCACACTGAAGCAGGGAGATTAGAAGCACTTCCAGTGTTCGGTGCTGGGTAAGAACATCAAAACTTCCATCTACATTTCCTCTTTAGAAGTGAACTTGGTGGGCCAGGAGAGATGGCTCAGTGGTTAACAGAGCACACTGCCCATGCGGAGGACTGGGGTTCAGATCCCAGCACTGTACAGGTCAGCTCACAAGCACTGGCGTCTACAGCTTCAGGGGATCTGATGCCTTGTTCTGACCTCCCCCGGGAACCCCCTCTAAGTAGTGTGAGCTGTCGCTCGTCATCAGAGGTCCGGGGCAACCATGAACAACAGGGGACTAGGAAGGAGAAGCAACTGCGTACCTCTTGTACCGACTTCCTGGTTTTATGGACGGCTTATTTTCGTGCTTAGCTGGTGAACTTGAACAGGAACACAGAAACATGAGTTGCTCAAATCTAAGTGTGTGTTTGGATAAAAATGACAATCTGTATTTCAATTGTATCATCAAAAATATTCATGTTTTCCACTGCTTTTATTGGCTATTATTACACTGTCATTACACTGTTATTACACTATTTCACTACTATTACATGGCACACTTGGCTTTGTGTCACTCAACTCTTTTCGTGGCCTTACGATGGCCTTACACGTACTTCTGGATGGCCTTCATCGATGCGGGGGGGCCATCTCACTGAAATCCCAGCTCTTGGTATTTCGCCTGGATGGCAGTGTCTTCTGTTTGAATTCCACTAGTTTTAAGAAACCGTTGTAAATCACTTCTTGATCAAAGAGATGTTTTCTCTGTCCTGTTACGTGTGGGCGGAGTTTTAACAACTGGCGGCTTCATTATTTCCTTCCCCACTTGCTTTTCAGACCAGTGAGCTTTTCTACTTCCTAGTGAACAAGCTTCATGAGTATTTGCCGGAGTCCAGGGATAAGAGTGCTCTTCAAAATAAAAGCCAAAGAGCCAACGAGCTGGTGTAAGTACTAACTAGAGACTCAACGAGCTGGTATAAGTACTAACTAGACATCCATGAGCTGGTGTAAGTACTAACTAGAGAATCAACGAGCTGGTATAAGTACTAACTAGACATCCATAAGGCTGGTGTAAGTACTAACTAGACATCAACAAGCTGGTGTAAGTACTAACTAGACAATCAACAAGCTGGTGTAAGTACTAACTAGACATCAACAAGGCTGGTGTAAGTACTAATCAGACAATCAACAAGCTGGTGTAAGTACTAACTAGACAGTTGGATATTAGTCCTCAAAGGCAGAGGTTCTCAATCTGTGGGTCGTGACTTCTTGGGCTCCGTACCAGATATTTACATTATGATTCATAATAGTAGTTTAATTACAGTTATGAAGTAGTAGTGAAATAATTTGATGGCTGGGGGTCACCACAACCTGAGGAACTGTGTTAAAGGGTCACAGCATTAGGAGGGTTGAGAACCAGTGTTGTAAGGTGTTAAAAATAAATGGAAGATACTGGACAAAATATATGCACTATTAACGATAAGGGATACTGCAACTTTTGCTTTACATAGATTTTTAAATTTTTATTTTGTTTTGTTTTTTGAGACAGGGTTTCTCTGTGCAGCTTTGCACCTTTCCTGGAACTCACTCTGTAGACCAGGCTGGCCTCGAACTCACAGAGATCCACCTGCCTCTGCCTCCTGCCTCTGCCTGCCGAGTGCTGGGATTAAAGGCATTCACCACTACCACCTGGCTTAGATTTTTAAATTTTTAAAATTATTTCTTTATTGTCATTTAATTTTCTGAAACAGGGTCTTGTACTCTGGAATATCCTAGAACTCACTATGTAGACAGGGTGGCCTCAAACCTGTTTTCCAAGCGTTGGGATCGTAGATTATGCTACCATGCCATGCTCTCACATGAATTTTTTAAAATAGCACTTAAAACATTTTTAGTGCACACACAAGGAATTAGTAATAAGGACTGCCCTCAAATGGGGAAATAGCTACCTCCGAGACAGACATATTTAAAAAAGGAAAATTAGGGGTTGGAGATGTAGCTCAGTGGGGTAAGAACACAAAGTGCTCTTGCAGAAAACCCGAGGTCAGTTCTCAGCTCCCACATCTGGTGACTCACAAGCCCCTGTGACTCCAGCTCTGAGGTGATCCGGCACTCCTGGCCTCTGTGGGCACCTGCACTCATGTGCACAAACCTACATTCAGGTAGACACATACAAATATTTGAAAATTAATCACTGGAAAAAATTACGCATTCAAAAATGCTCACGCTTGATCCTGACACGAAGCTCTCATTCAGTCAGTAGGCACTTTTTGATCTCCTCCTGTATAGCAGCCCCAGGCAAGGTACTCAGCCAGGGCTGGCGATTTGGTGCACAGAATTTGATGGACAGTTTGCTAAATGAATATCTGAAAGCAGTTGTCTCAAGGCTTAGTGCTTTTGTGGGATTCTGACCTTGTGGAGCCGTATCATTTTCATTATTTTTGTTTTGTTTTCTCTCATTTTCTAGGGCATGTATTGAAATTACACAGACCCTAGGACTGATGTTCAGAGAAACGGAAGTTGAATCATCACGACTGAGCACGCTGGCAGCTAAGAAGTAAGGATTTGTGTGTGTGTGTGTGTGTGTGTGTGTGTGTGTGTGTGTGTGTGTGTATGTTTTTTTGTGTTTTAAGAAGACGTTGGGACCATGTAGTCTCTGCCAATGCTCTTACTGTCTTCTGTTTACCGCTCTAGTTGGCGGCGTGAAGGGGGGAGACTAAAGTCTCATGCAATGGCCAGCTGAAGTCAGAGCCTCAGGCAATGTATACACTGAGCGTTAAGAAGAGTCACCCGAGTAAAGTGTACAGTCACAAGGACCAGCTGCACATGGCAAAAACATGTTTTCCCATGGAGGCATATGAAAAACAACAGCTGAAGTGAACTTACTCCTGTCCGCTGCACCTGGGTGTAGACGAATGCTAACCGGTCTTATTAGATAAAAAAACCCAGAGCCAGATATCAGGGTTAAAAATCCAAGAGATCAGAGAATAGGAAAAGCCACAAGCCAACCTCACCTCACCGACACCTCAGCTTCCAAAGAGAGACCTACTTCCTGTCTACCTATGCCTATATGCCTTTCTGCTCTGCTATCTCATTTGCTCTCTCTGTCCAGCTACATCGCTTCCTCTTCCGGCCCAGCTCTGTCACTTCCTGTCTATCTGTACAGACCTCCAGACCTTTATGGTTGGTTAACTAGTGCTGGAATTTAAGGCGTGTGTCACCATGCCTGGCTCTGTTCCCAGTGTGGCCTAGAACTCACTGAGATCCAGACAGATCCCTGCCTCCCGAATGCTAGGATTAAAGGTGTGTGCTACCATTGCCTGACCTCTATGTTTACTATAGTGGCTGGCTTTTTCCTCTGATCCTCAGATAAATTTTATTGTGTTGTACAAATAAGATATCACCACCCCTGGGAGGGGCATGGAAGCACATTCTAAGAATAATTCTGTGTTTTCTGAAGAAACTGAGGTCACAAGACTCTCATTTTTTTTTTTGAGTTTTCTCACAAGCACCGAGAATTCCCCTCGCACCTCTCCGTTCTTGATCTGTGTTTCGACAGTCTCCTAAAACTCCCTGCCCTCTATCTTCCCTGTTCAGCCCCTTGTGGGCACATTACACTCCTGCTTCCCCGTGTCCTTCTGAGCTGTGGAGATTAATTGGTGCCTGCTGAATTCTTTCTGCCCCTCTGCACCAGTAAGGGTACAAAGGTTTTCTTAGCATAACACCTTTTGTTATAGTTCCGTAGACTTGAAAAAGACCAAACGATCCATCATACAGTAAAATCCTTGGAAGCAGAATCTCCATTAGAATTTATGCACAGCAGAAAATTTTATTTGCTAAAGCAAGAGTTACTATAGTCACATTTTTATCCATAATTATGGGCTGCTTAACCATGGGGATGTGTCTACCTATAGAAATTTAGATAATACAGCCGGGCGTGGTGGCGCACGCCTTTAATCCCAGCACT